TATACGAATCTGCTCACAAAGTTCGACTGTGTCGTCATGGACGACGAAACTTATATGAAGGCGGATTTCAAGCAGCTTGGGAAAAAGGTAATCGAGTGGTACGATGCGAACAACGTGGTTGTGGTACCCAAAAACCACAACCCTCCCAACAGCCCAGAACTCCACCCTATCGAACGGTATTGGGCCTTGGTCAAACGGAATCTCAAAAAAAAAATAATAAATCCATGGAAAACAGGCAGAAGTTTAAATCTAACTGGCGTTCGGCGGCGAATAAGATCGATGTGCCACTGTGCAAAATTTAATCGAAGGGGTTAAGCGGAGGGCACGACAGTTCGGATTTGGCAAACCAAAAGAATAAACGAACATTTTTCCTTTAAATATATGAATGGAACTACCAAAAGAAAAATAAGAAGATTTTTGTGATATGAATTTTGACTGAAAGAAACGATTTTTTTGTCGACCAATTTTTGCACGTTCCAGTCTTTAATTCAAGGTATCGTCCAAATAAGCTTCAAAATTAAATTTTTTTTTTATCAAATGTTAAATTCGTTTTTACAGTCAATTATTAAAGCTATCTATAAAAAAAAAACCGTTAGAGATAGCTTGGTCAAGATATATAGGTTGTCGATTCATAAAAAAATATCACTGGATAACTGTTCAAAACATCACAAATGTAGTTTCTTTTGAATTCTGTAAGTGTTGCTGAACGCTAAGCTGAATGTTAAGCTTTCTCATAAAGATTTACTCAGTATTAAGACAGATCTAAATCTGAGTGTTAATAAGGACAGTATGTAACAGATAATTATCTTTTTATTTAACAGATGCTGAAATTGGTTTAACGTATGAGACATAACGGCCGTCAAACTATCCAGCCCGACTTTAAATAAGCCAAGAGCAACATGATGTCCGAGCTTGAAGATTTCTTTGATGTGAAATATTGTAAAATATCAAATATGAGCGATTTTTGCAAGAGTGCAGGAAAAGGCATAGAACTTATTCAAAGCAGTCACACTGGGGACAAAATCGAAACAATGTGTTAAAATTCAATAACTTCGGTGCTCGCTGGAACAAGAGACTAAAAAATAGTCATTCTTATAGAAAAATTCTCAGGAATCGATTGGAGGGGGTTTCATCTTGGGCACGATAGGGTAAGTTGGGGTTTTTCACAGTTTCGCCCAAAAATCTCATATTTTGCATGATTTGAATGCTGTATCTCAAGATACCGATGATATAGACGGATGATTTCTTCGGCCAAGTTGATCAGGAGGTCAAGGATTGTTGGATGATGGACAGAACAATTTGGAATTCTTCCACTAGGTGGCGCTAGTGAGCATTCGAAGTGTATATGTTTGTGCTGCTGTATCTCAAGATCCTGACTATTTAGACGGATGATTTCTTCGACAAAGTTGATCAGGAGTTCAAGGACTGTTGGATGATGGACAGAACAATTCGGAATTCCTCCGCTAGGTGGCGCTAGTGATTATTGAAAGTGACTATTTAGACGGATGATTTCTTCGGCAAGTTGATCAGGAGGTCAAGGACTGTTGGATGATGGACAGAACAATTCGGAATTCCTCCGCTAGGTGGTGCTAGTGATTATTGAAAGTGACTATTTAGACGGATGATTTCTTCGACAAGTTGATCAGGAGGTCAAGGACTGTTGGATGATGGACAGAATAATTCGAAATTTTTCCGCTAGGTGGCGCTAGTGATTATTGAAAGTGACTATTTAGACGGATGGTTTCTTCGGCAAGTTGATCAGGAGGTCAAGGACTATTGGATGATGGACAGAACAATTCGGAATTCCTCCGCTAGGTGGTGCTAGTGATTATTGAAAGTGACTATTTAGACGGATGATTTCTTCGGCAAGTTGATCAGGAGGTCAAGGACTGTTGGATGATGGACATAACAATTCGAAATGATTCCGCTAGGCGACACTAGTGAGCATTCGAAGTGAATATGTTTGCGCTGCTGTATCTTAAGATCCTGACTATTTAGACGGATGATTTCTTCGGCAAAGTTGATCAAAAGGTCAAGGACTATTGGATGATGAACAGAACAATTCGGAATTCCCCCAAATTCCGAATTGTTCTATCCATCATCCAACAGTCCTTGATTTCCTGATCAACTTGGCCGAAGAAATCATCCGTATTTATCATCGGTATCTTGAGATACAGCATTCAAATCATGCAAAATAGGAGATTTTAGGGCAAAACAGTGAAAAACTCCAACTTACCCTATTGTGTTCAAGATGAAACCCACTCCAATCGATTCCTGAGACTTTTTTTTCTATAAGAATGACTATTTTTTAGTCTCTTGTTCCAGCGAGCACCGAAGTTATTGAATTTTAACACATTGTTTCGATTTTGTCCCCAGTGTGAGTGGTTTCGTATAATAGTACTCATTTGAAGTAAACTCCAGCTCCAAGTTTTTTTAACACTTTCAATAAATATTTACGTAAAGATTGATAAAAATTGATGAATCAGATGGAATTGATAATAATAGTAAATTCATCGAGTAAAACCACTGCCAAATTATTTTATTATTAAAAACATTATCAAATCATGACAAAGTCACGACATCTCACGGTACCGAAGAAGAAATCTGACTGTACTATTTAAACTTAGTACTTTGACTATGTTAGTCCCCTTTTTAATCATTTTCAGTTGTATTTGTTTTGATCCTTAATAGTCCCTAAACGCCTTCATAAACGGTCATGTAAACTTCAAAACACTTCTTCTTAAAAATCCAAGATGAAATATTTTAAAACCATCACATATTTGATTGTTAGGATCAATACTTACTTCCTGCGATTAACAAAATAAGGTACCGTAAAACGGGGTAACATTGATAGTTTTTTTTAAGTATATTCTATATATTTTTTACATCAATTACTGTTTCTCAAATTTTATTTTTTTTAAACAAGTACTGAAGATCCTAGAGTAATATGTTTAACGAAAATAATTTCATTTGCACTATTTTTTTAGTCTTGTGACCGAACATCAGTATTTTGATTTGGGGTTACTTCGATAATGCTCGATGAATGTCGAAAACATGCCGAAAAATCAAACAATTTAGTTCAATACATATGAAACTTTGAATGAGTATATAATCAGAAAACATCATAAGCAATAAGAACACAACCTGGGGGCAAGACAGCTCTCGATCATGAGTAAAACCGACGTTAATTTTGAGTAACTCTGAGTAACTCACCCTGCAACACTTTTTCAATGATACATTGGCGATTGCTGGCAAAGCGCTAAAGTTGAAGTGGTTTTCTTTCGCTGGCGAAGCTGACCAAAGCTGACCTAATCTGGCCTAGAATCAGCAGCTACTTAATATACCACAATCAGCAGTCAAGGACCAATTCTATTGACCACGAAGGAAGTTTAAAGCTCAGGTTGTACCTCAGGTATCCGAAAAGGAGCATTGCCCTTTTGGAACGGGTCACTCCCGTCACTCCTGTATCGTCCTAGGCCGTGTCAGTCCTCACAAACGAGGGAAGGCACCTGAAAGGCATCCAAGCCACACACGAACGACAAGCTCCGTAAAACCGTCGTGCAGTCAAACCACCACAGTAGCATTTCGGTTGTCCACAATTCAATTTGTTAAACGAGCGATTCGATCTGTCAAATGGGCGAACAGATGCTTCAAACGAAATATGCTGTCAGACGATATTTCTTTGATCAGAAAATCGAGACTACTTTGATCATTTTTGAGTAAATATGAGTAACTCAAATTTACTCGCTGCAAATATATTTACTCTGAGTGCAGCTGTCTTGCCCCCAGAACACAACATTTAATTTATGATAGCTATATCAGAAATACAATTCATAAGTGATGGTTTGAGTGCTTTTTCAAACAGGCAAAAGCAAGAAAATTGTTTTTTTTTTTTCAATATGGTTGGCACACATGTAGCACAAACTTTATAAAAACTATATGTGATATCAAGGGAAATGCCCTAAGCTACAATGTGGAACCAATGTTTCTAATTCAGAAAGAAGCAGAGAGTAAATTAAATCATTCAATTCTACTATCAAAGTTACCCGCATTATCAAAGATACCCCGTTTTACGGTACATGAAAGTTACATAAAAAGTGCCTTAACACATAGCGTGCGCAGCCTCTTTTTTTTTTTGACACCTCATGGCATGCTTAAAATTGAATCACAAGTTTATATTGCAGACCAGTAAATCACTCCAATTTTCCAAATAATTTAATTTATTCGTAGGCGGTTCATGAAAGGTAAGGAGTTCATAATAAAACAAAAGTCCCAGCGTTAAAGGAAAATTCCTACATTTAGAAACGATCCTCATTCATATCAACAGAACATCCTAGCCAACCATCCACATCCTTAAGTACTCATTCATTCGAATCGTCCAGCTACTGCGTGAGCATAATTCTTCCAATCGTCTCAACATCCTTTGCAATAGAAATAATAGCACCAGCTTTGTCCTTACGTATATTTTGGTTTTGCTGTTTGCTGTTTTGTTCTACTCAGCAAAGCTCTCGGGCAAACCGAAAAACCGAATGGAAAGAAAAATCCATCCAACAACTTAAAATTCCCCAAGCAACACAGTGCAGAGCATCAGGTTCTTTCCCACGGTATCTTGTGCGTAAAAGTACTCAAAAATATACTCTGTCTATGCTGAAGCACAGAAGCAACAACCAACAACAACAACAACAACAGCAAGTACAACATCCACAATAAAAGGAAAGCATGGTACGATTCTTGTTTGTGTCATTTGCTTCCGTTCCCAGGTTCCTTAGAACTGGACTGGAAGCTCGAACGAACGTGAATAGGGATAAGTACCGAACCGAACCGTCCGACCAACTGAAGGAGGAAGGACGACAACGACGACGACGACGATGATGGTCTCTGTTTTATTTGGGTCAGACCGAGGCACACTCCTTTGTTTGTAATTGTTGTTGTTCGGCGAAGAAGAACAATTGTGTGTGTGTGTGTGTGTCCCCCCCCCCCGGATAAACCGCAGTACTCACCTGCTTGCTGGCTCTGGAAAGAATGGTGATTTCCCGCTGCAGCACTGGTACGTGTGATTTCAGGAATGGGACAACGTTCGACCGAAGAGGGAAATTGGTCGCCTCTTGGACGGCGATTTGAAACTCCTCGACTGTTAGGCCACCGCTCTGGAAACAAAGGAATGGAAAATGATTGAGTTTCAAGCTGCCATCGCTGAGAAAACATCATCCACAGTGACGATCAATCGCAACTCACCGCCAGCGACAGCACCAGTGAGCGCACCCGGTCCCCAATGTCCACGTTAGTATCCTGCCCGAACTGCACCAGTGCGCCAAGGAAGCGTCGAATCTTGACCAGCTTGGCCGTGTCCTGCTGTGCTGCTGCAGCGGCTGCCGCAGCCGACGCGGAAGTGATGGCAGGCGGAGGCGTAATCGATCCCAAACTGCCTCCACCTCCGCCTCCTCCACCGCCACTACCACCACCCCCAATGCTACCACTGCTTCCGTTCAGTACCCGTGCTGCCACCGCCGCCGGTATCTCACCCGGCGGCGATGAACTCCCGTTGCGGCTTGCGACTTGTGATGATGACCCAGTGCCACTGCCAGCACCGCCGGATCTCGGCTGGGGCACCAGACTGCTGTGATGCTGTGACACCTGAGGCGAAATCGGCGACCGTGGTGCCACCACTCGGGCTCCTTCCGGTGAGTCTGGCGTTCGACACTGCTCCTTACCTGTGTCGGGATACAGAAGAGAGAGAGAGGATGGCTTGGGGTTAAATGAGAAGATACATAGATTGAGAACGAGTGTACGGGACGGGAGGAAATAATGAGTTAATGCTAGTGACAAGTGACAAGCATTGTACTATGGCTTTGGTTGGCTGCTGCTGCCATTCGCTGGTGGAGTGTGGATGAGTGAAAAGGGCAAACACACACACACGTAAGAGCGAGCAAGATAGAGATGGGAGAATGGCAAATTAATTGAAATTTCAATCAAACTCACTAGTGGGAACCTCTATTACCTATGAGTGCACCTATGGGATGGACGTGCAGCAGCTTTGATATGTGCAAGCGCTGATAGGTCACAAACGGATTGAATTCGCGCAGTGGAAAACGTAGATGAAAGAAAACAATGCAACGGTAACCGGACTGGGGTCAGTGAAATGTACCTTCTACGAATTTCTAACTATGTGCTAACTATGATTAAACGGAAGTTTAATCATATTGTTTCTTAAATTATTTTTTTCCAGGATTTGTTTTCCGTCGATCTGGTTGGCCGTGCTGAGCACCAATGCTATCGACGCCACGGAGGCAGCTGACACACCTGGACCCTACGTAACGACCCATCAACTCAGACCGGGGACCAACGGCTTTACTTCCCTTTGTCGTGATCAGAGATGTTATGCCACAAAACTTCCCTGCGGCGCCGACTGGGATTAAGCCCAGGCCTTCTGGGGTGAGAGGTAATCCTGCATTCAACTTCACCACCAGCGTCGCTGTTGCTTAAATCGTGTTTAGTGACAGTTTAATAAAACATTAATCGATTTAAATTTCGAAGGATATAAAAAAAACTGGAAAACTTTGAACTTTATAAACATTTGTGAGTTTAAAACAACCAAAATTTTTATATTATTCAATTGAATTAAACTTACGAAAGTTTTTTTTTTTAATTCTTATCAGTCCCTATATTTGTTATTTATTATAGGTTTAATTTTTGTATGCGAGATCGTAAAAAATCTCTAAAATCTCAAGTGCTTTATCCGAGTCCTGCCGAGAACATCATTCCATGTGTACTGTTTCATGTCACCGGGCTTGAACGTTCGTCGTTCGTAATGCTGGGTTTAGACTAGGCCAGTCAAATGATCAACTCAGTTGAATTCAATTGGCTTGAAAAGTTGAGCCTGGTTCAACTTTTTTCAATTCAAGTGAGTTGATCAAGTCAGTTGAATGGCATGGTTTACACGTTCAATTCGTGTTCAAGTCAGTTGAATTCAACTGAGTTGATCAATTGACTTGCCCTGTTTAAACCCAGCTTAATGGTTTGTTGTGATGTAAGGGGCACGGTGGCCTTGTGGCGACCGTTTTTGCTTACTGAACAATAAACTGTGGCTTGTTTTTGCCCCGACCTCTTGACAATGCTGAATTGCTAGAGTTGCAGTACATGTCATCAGGCTGATTTTGAGTAATTCTTATTCGCGTGAGTTTCTGAAAACAATATTTTTTTTAAATTATGATCACATCACTTATCTAGAAGAGTTCAGATCCAACAAACTTTACCTACTATTGAAATATATTATCCCGCAACTCCGCAACTGATTGCAATGTTGCGGTCAGCGCCAATATATATTTATTTTATAGAGTAATTGAAACATGTTGGAGATGAACTAGCCAACGGCTTAAAATCTCCTTAGTAAAGATTAAACAATAAATAAAAATAAATTAAAACTGAAACATGTATGTGTGATCAATAACGAAGTAGCAACCATTGATATGCGCAAGCAGTCTTATTCAAGCTAAGAAATGGGTTAGTCCGGGAAATATATTCCGGAAATTGGGACATTCTACCATTTTTTTTTTAAATGGAGTGTTCGCAAAGTGATTTCCGGGAAATGGTATAGAATGCACCAGCAAGTTCTTAGAATTATTTGCAATAGATTCATGCGTCTTACAATTCGTACAATTTCAAAGCCACAGATTATAGGCCAAAAATAATCTTAAGAATAATAAAATGGTCAGCCAAAACAGCTTTCAAAAGGGATGACCACATGAATACACTTAGAACGTCAAAATAACCTAAAATCGCAAAAACAGTAAATCAAAAAGAAGACGAAACTGAAACTGACAAAATGGCGCTGAAATGCCAATTCAGATTAAAATTGGTCGTAGGAACGTGAAAATGGAGTGACAACACGAATGGAAATAATAAATCAATTAAAACGCGACATAAATGGTCAATCTGAATTAAACTAACTCCACACACTTAGATTTTTTTTGCCATGATGGTCATGCACACTTTCAAGTTAATTTGAACTATTATCAAGCATGAACACTTAGATTTTGTTGCCGAGATGGGCACCACCAATCAGCTTCAGACTTTAATTTGTTGGATCTCAGAGGAAAACTTGCCGAGATTAAGCAAAATTTATGTATGAGATTTTGGCAAAATTTCCGTTTTTTAGTTGAATCTCGGCTAGTTTTTCACTGAGATCCAGCAAAATAAAAAGCCAAGCTGATTGGTGGTGCCCATCTCGGCAACAAAATCTAAGTGTTCATGCTTGATAATAGTTCAAATTAACTTGAAAATTCGGGCAATTCTTCTTCATATTCTTCTTATTCCCATTTCAAGGTTATTGCGTGCTCTCAACTTAGCGTTCTAGATGCACTTCCACTGTTATTAACTGAGAGCTTTCGATGCCTGTACTACACAGTTAAAAAAAGTAGTGTAAATTTATGTTTAATATGATGCACATAAATGGAGCGTTACATATCATATGCGTTTACTGTTTAGGAGTGTACTACGATCGGAAATTACCATCAGCGGTCCCCTTGATCGATGCTGTGGAACATGTTGTGCTGTCACTGTATGCAAGATCCATCAACCATCACAATTGTCAGTTAGTCAGGTAGTGTAGTGTTTAAAATAAACTGTTTTTCAATGTTTAATTAATTGTATACTTGAATAAAAGTTTATTTTAAATACTACACTACACATCTAACATTTATTTTAAAACCAATTAAAACTACATCACAAATTCGGTCCCGTGACCATCTATCGATCTGGCTATCTGGAGTCTTTCTGTGTTCTCTATAGTTTATCCTTAGACTATTGACCTATATAAAGTGCATATTTTCTCCCTTTAAACATTCTTTTCGGCTCTGTGGCTGTAGTTGTGCTACCTCGCTGACAATTCTGATGGTTGATGGATCTTGCATACAGTGGTAGCACAACATGTTCCACAGATCTATGCAGCATCGATCAAGGGAACCGCTGATGGTAATTTCCGATCGTAGTACACTCCTAGACATACTTCCCACCCTGAAATTCCGGAATTTTTGAAAAGAAATAAATAAACCTCTTCGAACACAGGATGGGTGGCTGCTGATCGTTTGACGTATTAAGAAATATCTACAGGTGGTTGTCGCGAAGTTGGTAACAGACAAATATTCTCTACGGGTCCTTCAGCAATCCCGTGGCGGTTTTTAATGTGTCGACGCTAACTACATCGTCTGCTCCTGGATGAATATCCTGTATGCGACCCATTCTCCAACGAAGCGGCGGTGTATTTTCCTCCTTTATCACCACGAGCTTTCCTACAGATATTGGAATGGCAGGTTTCCATCTTTTGACCCTTCCTTGTAATTGCGACAAATATTCGCCTTTCCAACGTTTCCAAAACAACTGAAGTTTTTGCTGAATTAGTTGCCCACTATGCAGCCTGTTCATTCGTACATCGGTATAATCTGGATCTGGATCTGGAAGCTGTTGCAAAGGTCCACCCACAAGGAAATGACCGTTAGAGGTTAGAGGTTCTAGATCGGTTGGATCATCCGACATGGGTGTCAAAGGTCTAGAATTCAGACATGATTCCACCTGGGTTAAGAGTGTAGAATGGTCTTCGAAAGAAACAACTGTCTCGCCTAGAACCTTCAGCAGATGAATCTTTGCGGATCGCGCTGCCGCTTCCCAGAGCCCACCGAAATGTGGTGCACTGGGTGGATTGAAATGCCAATTTATGCCTTCCTTGGCGCATTCGTTCACCATATCCTTCTGATGATTCGTGCTGTTTAATAGCTCAAACAGTTATTTGAGCTGGTTACGGGCCCCTACAAAGTTGGTTCCGTTCTCGGAATATACATCCGTACAGCGTCCTCGCCTGGCAATAAACCTCCTAAATGCCTGCAGGAATCGGTCCTTCGATAGGTCAGTCACTAACTCCAAATGAACTGCCTTAGTGCACATACAAACAAATAGTGCCACGTATGCTTTAACCGCTGTCCTTCGAGGACCCGGTCGGAAATAGACGGGTCCGAAGTAATCGACTCCTGTCCTAGAGAATGGTCGAGCTACCGTCACACGAGCGGCTGGCAGTTCCCCCATAAACTGCTCAATTGCGTTAAGTTTAGTTCGGAAGCATCGTAAGCAATCATGTACAACTTCACGTGCTACGTTTCGACCTCCCAATGTTAGAAGAGCAATCTGGTCAGCGGATGCCTTGCTGGAAGTATGATTGGATGCTTGGTTTCATCAGGTTCTTGGGAATGCTCTAGTCTTCCTCCAACTCGTATCACGTTGTCCCTTGACAATTGTGGGTTGAACCAACGAAGTGATGGGCTCCTTGCTACTGGTTCCTTCTTGGTTAGCGCCTTCCATTCCTTCTCGAACTCCTCACGCTGTACACATTGTATGACAGCTATTTCCGCCTTACGACGTTCCTCTGCTGTTGGAAATTCGGGAAATGTCAAACTATCCCTTGGTTTCTTCAGTATTTCCATGAAACGTAATATATAAGACGTACGACAGACCATATCGGCGAATGACGAGAACCTTCTAACATACGTCTTTCCAAATCCCTCTGGTTTCGATGTAGCAAAGTGCACAGTAGAATGACGGATCTCTTCTTCAACTTCATCGGAAACTATTTCTGCCGATTGGTTCAGCCAGCAGTCCTGCTTTTATTTCAGCCAAGACGGGCCTTCCCACCATAACTGGTTGTCTCGAATTTCCTCTGGTAACA